AGGAAACCAATTCACATAATAATGCACATTGTAGCACCCAATGGAAGAGGCATATATTTTCACAGGTAGGTTCAAAAGAAAGCTTCATAACAAGTCTAGTAATGACATGGACTGCTTACCCATGTTAATCTACAGTGTTTACCTAGTTCTTTATTTTGCAAGATTTCACACTTTCCTAAAAAATGGTTACATACTTTAACACTATATTACATAAATGCAAGCAATATATACTTGCCTGAGCAACAGTATTTTATATGCATTTGAGCCATAAAGATTCATTATCTAATAATAGTTTGTTAATATCACAAAACATACACTATTTATCCATTTAGAAATTAATGCATACTCTGCACTACAAAACTACAATTGCTTCTCTACATATTAAATGCTATTTGTACACATGCTTGGCACTATATAGGCTTCATAGACAACTTAATTTCAACAATAAAATCAATTGTCTATCACACATTTCAACTGCTTTAAGAAACTGACCGCAGAAACATCTTATTAATGCTTATTCTATACTTCTCATTAGCATAGTTTTCTTTGTAGTATTGGACTGCTAAATGCAAGGGTTATATATCCTTTGGTGGCTCATACTCAGTTGCCCTGAGGAATTTCAAACCATCCCCAGTTAGAGGTGACATTATAAAGGGGGATATCCATGCAACTTTCCATCTCCTGCCCAACACATCAACAATATTTTGGCGCAAACTCAGATTGTAGTCATGTATGTTGTGCTTCATTTCATACTGTGTCTGCCCCTGACATATGGCCTTAGCCTGTATAAGTAACAAGTATGACACCATTAGGAGAGTGGCTAGACCAAGTGTGTGCAAAGTAGCTACAAGGACACCCCACAAATTTATAGCTCCAAAAAGAAGAGCAAAATGCGGAGCAAGTAAACATAGGAAAAAATATATGACTGGGAGATTTATCGTTTCATACACATACTCCCACTGGTAGTAAATTCCATACAAAGCTCCAATAAATATATAAAAGATTCCCATCAAAAAGTAACGGTGGTTATGGTAGCCAACACAACAACCTGGAAAGAAAAAAAATAATATGAATTTCTGATTATTATTCTGAAATAATTTCACTAAACTAGCATAGTTAACTGGGCTAAAAAAATAATTGGATAAATATTTCAACCCATAAAACAAGTGTGTTCTACATTGAATCATGCTCAAGTGAGGACACAGGGCAAATTGAATGTATCACAGGACACCAGAACATCATTGTGATGTTTTTAATTCTCATAATGTAAGTTTAAACGAATGGATCTGGATGATGTGACCTTCATGCCATGAAAAGTATTGGCTGAGGGCCAGCTGACAGGAATATGTCATCATAGATAACTTTGGCTGAGGACCTGGGTGACGGGAATGTGCCATCATTAAAAATTTGGCTGAGGGTTCAGGAGCAGGAAATGACTCATCATCAGTATGCAGAGCTCTTGGAAGTTTATATTCAGTGCAATTTAGGAGGAGGCCCTTTCATTATTTCTCAAAGTAAATGAGGATGGCATGTACCATCTATGAGCCATGGCTGGAAGAGTGCCATAACTGGCATCCCAGGGAGCATTAAAGAAAAATGAATATGAAAATATAAAAAATTACACAATGTTACTTATCATTATTGTTATCTTGGAAGTTTAAATTCAGTGCACATTTAGGAGGAGGCCCTTTCATTATTTCTCAAAGTAAATGAGGATGGCATGTACCATCTATGAGCCATGGCTGGAAGAGTGCCATAACTGGCATCCCAGGGAGCATTAAAGGAAAATGAATATGAAAATATAAAAAATTACACAATGTTACTTATTATCATTGTTATTGCACCGAGTTGTAGACTACCTAGAGACACAACATAGAATCAGCTCAAAGAAAACAGTCTTCATACAGCATAATAAGTAACAAATATAATCTTGGAGAAGAGAAAAAAAAATGTGTACATTAAGAGATAACATTACAAAGGGGAGGCAAGGAGTCTTGATATCACACATAAGTGTTCCTGTGAGTTGAGCCTACAAGCCACACATCCAGAAGGGTCACCACTCAAGAAACCCTAACACCCAGATTTTGGTCCAGGTGTGTGTCACAAAGCATCTGGATCCAATGAGTTAACTGACTGATTCCAAAAATAGGATTGATTTTTTTTTTTTTTTTTTTTTTTTTTTTTTTTAATAAAGTAAAAAGTAATGATAGCTCATTGATGCGCTAGCTCTGTATCAGATTGCAAGACTTCAAGTCTTTCAAGGGTTAATTAAATTCTTGACCAGAGGTGGCTTTCTGTTGATTACTTTTGAATGATTAAAACCAGTTCTTTCAAAGAACCAGTTTAGACTGCTGACTCTCTTTGATGTGAAACAAAAATTCAGTCAGAAGAAATTAAAGGTAGCTTCTTTCCAGCATCTAAGAAAAGTGAAATCTTGACGTTACAGTCACAGATCTATATAATCAAGTCAACAATATATTTCACATTAGTCTAACTTAAATTTTCCCGTCACTTTCATTAAAACATAATTTCAGATAAAATTTCACAATAAGCATGAAGCAATTTAACCATGTCATATTAGAATCCAAATCAGGTAGCCAAGCTATCTTTGTGCTTTGAGCTTGAAATAATGAAATAATGGCAATTCATCTAGGGAATCTATCATAACCAAAAAGTTCTTATGATGGAAAGAGTCATACATTCATCAGTAACACCACTTAGTTTTTGCTCTGTTTCTGCAACAAGTAGCAACTTTACATTTCTTCATAATATGGGATATCCAGTGATCTTTTTACAAACAATCACAATGAAAATATATTTCTGGTGACATAAAATTTAAGAGAATTGGCTTTATGTAGGCCTTTTTATCCTGTTTTAGGTTTGAAATCTGATCAAAAGTGTTAGATATTCACCCTCCTTGCTACAAAACCAGGAAGCGATTACATTATTTAATATGCAAGAAGAACCACTCTGTGGAACCTCATCTTTGAGGTTCCACAGGTGTCACAACTATATTATTGTTTTTTTTCCTATAACTGACATCTCATCATCTTTAGCATGGATAATAATAAACACGTATAAGTGATAGTTTTGAAGGGACCACTGGGTCCATTCAACTATCACCACATACAATTTGTGCTTATAGTATATTTCTGATAAATATCATTCTAAGTGGATTGTGAATGATTCATCAGCGCATAGTGGAACTATGCAAATCAAGAACTAATATAATGCATCATTATAACATTTCAGCAGAAGCAATCAAATAATGGGCTGGCTAGCCAGTTAGCACACTCTAATAACAGCCATCATGACAAACTGTTTAGATTTCAGTTGTTCACCTGTTGTTTTATTCATATTCATTCAATGAACTATTTTCCTTATTTCTTCTCACTATAATGTAATCTTCATATCATAAAAGTAAATAAAATATTGACTTTCATCAGATCTAGATTTAGTTCCAATCTGAAGTGTGTGAGAATACAATTGATTACTTGTACTCAAAAAAAATCATTCTTTGATATCAAATTATTATTTTCCAAAGTGAACAAATAATTTTCATACTAAAAATGCTGTCAGTAAGCCAGGTTATAAACCAGTTCTAATATCATATCTTCTCGCTGAGCAGACGGTCAGGTGAAAAACTGATGCAATATTTTGTGCATTTCATCCTGGCTACTCAGGAGCTAGATTTTGGTACCATTTTTTGCATTAAACTCAAGATTACCTCTCTGGGTTATTTCATTCTCAAAACTGAATTAATACAAAAACAATAATGAAAATACATAAAGTACGTTCAAGGAATCAACAATAAGTAATAATTTGTATTGAATGTCAAGCATATAATATGGAACAGCCCAGTATCAAAAGTACCTGTAAACTTGCAGTGGTGATCCCTCTTTAGTATGCATTCATCACATATGTGGCAGTGATATGACCTCGGAGGGTAATTCACTTGACAAATTGCACAGTACCTCCAACCTGCAAATACATGTTGGCATTAAAAAAGTAGTCTAATAAAAATATTAACAATAATAATGATAATGACAGGGATGATGATGATGATGATGATGATGACGATGACGATGACGATGACGATGACGATGACGATGACGATGACGATGACGATGACGATGACGATGACGATGAACGATGACGATGACGATGACGATGACGATGACGATGACGATGACGATGACGATGACGATGACGTGATGATGATGACCATGACCATGACCATGACCATGACCATCATCATCATCATTATCATTGTCATTATCATAATCATCATCACCCCTGAAACAAACCAATCACCCATATCAGGAACCACTAATATAAACACTAATACTCAAGATTCTTAGACTTTGCTTGATACTGAACTAAAAAGCATCTCTCTTTAATTACTCCAACATGCAGATACTGAAGAAGGATTTATAGGATAAAGCGATGACCCTGAATCACAACTCAAGAGATTTTACAGTCAGTAAAAATATCCTCACCTGGTTTGAGCACAGAAGGCAGAAAGGAAGTTCTTCCACTAGCATCTGTCCTTATTACAAGGAGAAGATTGTGGAATATGTTGTAGGTAACAAATACCACTGCAATAATGTGCATCACTACAATGGAGTTCAACTCACTGTGGTAATGCGGCAGTATAACAAATCCCAGCCAGAAGACTCCAAATGGTATACCTACTACCATAAAAAGAAACAATGCTTTATCTGTTGCATTGCGTGGGATAATTGTTGTATTCTTGCCCATGTTTACTGTACCTGAAAAAAGTATGTATATTCAATAATGGACCACACTTAACAGATCTTATTTGTGTGTAAGGAGGGGGGGCATAGGTTTATGGGTATGGATATGCATTTTGGTGTGTGGGTGTGTGGGAAAATCCTTGTAAACTCAATTTCAATTTGAGATTAAAAGTGGATACCTTACCTGTGGAGTGTAAAACTACATTTTTGACAGCTACCCTTGGTATACAATTATCATCCAAAATCTTCATGTGTTATTTTCTTTATTATAAGCTTCAAGATAAGTACTTAGAGCATCTTCTTATGATTAGTTATTGTGATCTTACAATAACTAACATTATTCTAATTTTTTCTTCTTTTTGATTTAGTGCAACTGGAGTTGTGGTTTGTATTTCCAAGGACACTCATTAGCCATGGATTACAAAATAAAGTGTGGGAAATTATGCAAAAAAAAAAAAATGTTTAATAAAGAAATAAAACAACCAAACTCACATCAAAGTTATGAGAAAAAATTAAATGAAATCTACTCTGTATATGCTAAAAAATAGCCAAATTCAGCATATGTAATGGGAAAATTTTATTTTCTATCCTAGAATTTAATAACAAAAACAAAGGAAAGATATTAGTTACCTAAAGTAGCCTTGATAATTCTACAGGAGGGAAAAATAATAGATATGCTAGCCACAGGAAGTAGTAAATAAGACAGCATATCAAGAGAAAAAAGGAGAAAACATGAACATGAAAAAGCTAAGGTTTCCTAATTCTTTGTTCACTTCAAATTACATGTAATGATAAACTGTATCCATGTTGACAAATGTAGAAAAGGTATGAATGAGACTTGATATCTTCACAATACAAGAGATGTATTTGACCGGTCAAATACATCTCTTGTATTGTGAAGATATCCAGTCTCATTCATACCTTTTCTACATACAATGATAAATCAGAGTATAAAAACTTGAGCATGAAATCACAAATACATTATTTCTTGTCAGCATTTCCTCTGAATAGGCCTAAGAAAAAAGAAAAGTAAAACAGAAAAATACAACAGTTAAAACATGGGATGACAGAAAAATATACACCCAGAGACTGATTATGGATTACAAGATAAGCTCAAAGTTATGGATAATCTGGGTGAAAGTATATACTGAAAGTCACTGAGATTTAAACCCTCTCCAGACGAGTGACTTTAGTGGCGCGACTGCTAGAAGCACGACTGTTAGGTCAATGGAAGTGAATAGGAGCGCAAACACTAGTGGCTATTCACTTCCATTGACCTGGCAGTCATGCTTCTAGCAGTCGCGCCACTAAAGTCACTCGTCTGAACAGGGTCTTGATGTAAACATGATAGCAGATCTACACTATATAAAAGACAATTACTGTATCTATCTATCTATGATTATAATGTAGCAATACAAAAAATCGAGTCAGAAACGTAAAAGGATACAATATTAGATTAACCTTAAATTTTTAAAATTCTTACTGGTATCTGTAAGAGAGACCTCATTATTGATATACGATGGTTTTACTGTATGTCGAACATAAATTACTTCCTCTTAAAATATTAATTCAATGTCAACAAGAAAATATAAGAGTATTGTTTCGTGAAATGTCTCAACACATAGGATACTTCCACAAGTCAATTAGCAGACCTCATGACTTCACCTGATTTCACCTTTCCTTAGGTTTTTGGTAAAAATATATATATTTCTTTTACTAACACTATGAATATTGATGTCACTAGCATTACTACAAAAATTATCAGTGTTATAATGTTGCTAAAATTTCTTATACAAACACAAGATAAAAGAACATATATATTAGTAGCACTAGCAACTGGCTCACTGGTGACTAAATACTCATACATCCATCTACGTATAAAGACAATTAATAAACTAAACTCAGAGGCCATGGCATGTACTTACATGCTATCCTCAGCAGCATCAGTTTAACAAATATAAAATTTATGTTTACCTGAAGCTTGACTTACCTGGTGAATCTTGGCCTGGGCTCCTCAATACGGGTGGGCTGTTCCAGATATTAAGTGGACAGTAGTTTGTTCTGAAGAAAACAAACGCACATAAAAGAAAATATTCAAGTATATTTCAATACCAATTGCATATAAGACTTTATTTGGGTGCCTCTTTGCTTGAAAGATAACAAATAAACCTCTAAGGAAATATCAAAATATACTTTAATATGAAATAGTTAAACAGTAGACATGATAGAACAATAAGTTCAAAGACATTCTTACTATGACACAGTTGTCTCAATATAATGAAAAAGATATGCGAGTAGGTGACAGGCAAAAAACTTGTAGGTATTAATTTCATAATGACCATCATGTGTATGGCTTATAACCCCTATTAGCAATTCCTCATCAATTAAGGTACCAATCCAGGCCCTATCTTGCTAGTACAGACATAGAGGCTTCTTAACTTTTGCCAGAGCAATGAATTCCTTGCTGACTACTCACCATTATTACTGCTGATCTATACATGAGATGGCTTATGGTAATCATCCAGAAAAGGACTGAATGAAGATGGTGATAATTAATGTAATGAAAATGATGAGTACATTAAACATTATGCCAGTAAAAAAATAATTTACACAACATATAGCCCCAAGTACATATTAGTGTCTGCAGTTATGTTATGGCCTCTTTTCTGCATGAACATCCAATAATGTAATTTCACTGTAATTGCTTAAAAAAATAAATGTGGATTGTGTGCAACCCATGGCT